AAAAGACGTTGAAAATAACACGAGTCCATTTTTTTCGTAGTGAGCATCAAATGAAGTTGTCACGAGGGTTCTAACATGTCTTATCGGACAATAATGGCCTTTGAAATGTTTTGTAACCTTCGCGACAATTTGTAACACAGTAACACCGCTGAAGTAACAATTGATGATGCGGGAATTCAGAAAATTTCACCCGAGTAAACAACCTACTAAGTGCACGGCTTTGATTCTTTTTTTGCTTTGATTAGCTCTTTTTTTTAAAAGCTACATTAAAAGTGTGTTTTCTATCGATATGATTTTATAAAAAGGGAAAAAAATTAGGTTGACTCAAACTTGATTGGTGACTTGTTATACGGTATAACTCGGAGTTACCACATACGTAAGCACACTTGATTGAGGCACATTGCTAGATTTTGCAGTATTTTGGCCTATGTTATTGTCTTACTCGTACTTGAGGTACGACAAGTTGTTTTTTGTGATTATAGGAGATCAGATACACCTAACAACTTCCTTACCCACCCCTTTCCTTTGTTCACCTCTAACCCTTAATAAAAATTATCACTCAGAATAGAACTTTTGTTTCTTAACTTCTTAATAGGAGTTGTAAGGGTTCCTTTGTGAAAAAGCAATTAAAGGTAAAGCGAAAGAAAAGTTGACAATGGATGGGCTGATATGCAAAAGTAAGTGGCGATACTGTAAAAGAGCAAGTTTGAAAAAAGCCCACTGGAAAGGGAAAAAAATGTAGGTGAACTTGGCGGAATATGCCAAATTATGCAGCAATTTTTTTCTAAAAAGTGTAAAAAAAATTTTCCATTGAGCCAAATTATGCCGATCAAAATGCATATTCGGGAAGGGCCTACCTGGTGCCCAACACCGGAGAAATAAGGCTTGCGCCAAACAGTCATGCCTGGTGAGTAATTATGCCATAGTCAGAGCGGTGTTGGGATGACTAAGTGCAAATACGTAATTGTACTTTAAAGTCAGTTAAAAAAAATCCATTGAAGTCCTTCATATACCCAACTACAGTGTGTTAAAATCCTTTGAACTTCCCGAAAGTTACTATTCAGTTTTAATATCATACTGATATGATCTAGCTTTGCGAGTATCAGTTCCGGCATAAAGTTTAAGGGGGAGAAGTTCAAGCTCGCCTCTGCTGTTCCGTGTACGTTTTAATAGTGGTTGTGACAAGGACAAAGAGTGTTGGGCCAGTTAAGCGTATTTAACTGATAATTTATGGCACAGGTTTAACACGTGGAAATTCACGGGCACGGTTGAATTCTCAAGATAAACACTCGTTTGCTATCAGTAGATATGCAGACAAAGAATACATTGGTGATTTTATTATTTTTGTAACGGAATAAGGAGGGTTTTACGTCGCTTTGACGAGGATAACGACGTAATGAGAACAATCAAACCAAAAACATAGACTCAACCGGAAATCTTTGGTAAATAAATAAACAAATAAATCAAGTTTACATAATAGAGTCCACCCTGGGACGGACTTCGTGTTCGAGAATGTTCCAATCGGATGAATGTTGTACAATTTAGTAAACTTATGACTCAAAACCTTTAATTCAAAATTCAAACCAGCATTGTAGGTTTCCATCATCTATTTTGAATCTCTCGTCTCCCCGCGTCTTTCGTAAACAGGACATCTGACTGAATTCAGGCATCAACTATTCGCTATAAATATAACCGTTACCTAGGGAAGCTAAGAACGGGCAACAGCCGCGGGGAGAAGGCCCCTTTGAATTTCTCTCTTTCTCGCTTCGGCTCACGGCTAAATCTTTGCTTATGTGGTCTTACGCTCTCAGTGAAATAAATAGGAAGGGCCAATCTGGAGGAAACTGCAATGCGGAATGGTTCACAATACTCTCAGGATACATAAGACCTTTACTAGACTGACACTTAAATAGAACTTAACCTAGTCTCCGCAACAATGAGAACTACTAAAGCACATTTGGCGGTATGCGTAACTGACGACAAATTTTCCCCTTTTTTGTTCTACCAATACTTTATTCTTAGGGTAAAGAATCCTTAATGAACAAAAAAAATTTTAAGGGCAAAGTTAATTGATGGAATGTAAATGATGGACAAATGTATAACTTATCGCAATAAGTGCAAGTTACACCGTAAATGACATTGGCGGGGGTACACGTAAAGTGATCAGTGATCTGAATGGATCTCTTGGGTCCCGATATTTCCTCTACGCCATGAATGAAAGGACAAGTTTTGCATCGTGAGCGAGCGCATTTGAAAGTTCCAGATTGGTCATTGGTTTGAAATAAACTTATACAATGAACAGACCTTTCGGATTCCGCGCTCTGATGCTCTACTACTGAGCCACAGAGACTCTACGGTGAGCGAGGTCCCTTACGAAGTTTATATGACACGCGTCCTGCATACCGCTAGGACCAGCCATGTCGATAGCGTCATGTTTTGTAGATAGAATAAGAGAGATGTGAATATTATTTCGGTAATACAATGTGAATCAATGATATTTATCGTACTTACTGTGTCGAAATATTTCGGAGATGTACAGCAAAGTTGTTATACTGTCACTACAGTAAAGAATAAAGGTTTCTGTCTCGAATCATCCACAGTCGAAAATGAAAGCGGAAGACACTCAAGTCATATGACGTATCGTTATGAAAAACTTGACAGTAATCAGAGCGCCGCCACCTGGCAAACACTGCAACTCGTTGAAAAGAAATGTATGGCAAAAGGTTGTTTCGACGTCCCCAAAAAAGCGATTTTGGAGAGAGATTATCGCTTTTTCGCCGCTGTTTTATCAGAAATGGATTTGGGTAATGTTGATACAAGGGAAGTGCAAGTTTTTGTCGGGACAACCTTGGAATGTGTGGTAAGGAAAACCGATTGACATTTCTCCATTCGCAAGGTTTATTGGTCTCGATATTTGGAAATATTAGCTACAAATCACCAGGAAATAAATCAATACAGCCTTTTGACGTGTGTTAGGTCTACTTCTCGCTTTTTTCTTGCCTTGCTAATAAAAGAGCGCTACACAGCTACCTCGAGATATATATTATTAAATACTGTCGTGATAAATTGAAGTGATTAAACACCCACATATACCTTGCTTCTTTGTTGTGATCAATAAGAACGAGCCAGCGTTGATAATCGACTCAAAACTGAACCCTTCCTTCTGCGACAATGAGTAGGTACAAACGAGTTGCTTAATTAAGAAGCGGTGCAAAACTGAATATATGTTCAGAGTTCCCGTGATCTTGCTTTTCCTGACAAGATCGTCCAAGGAGGTCGAGGAGAAAAGTTGCAGTTCAAAAAACCTTTGGATTATTCAAAAACGAACTATCACTTGACTTGGGAATTTCCTCATGTTTTTAACCACTCATTTCATCCTTCCGAAGAGCAACAGCTCGGTAAAAAAAATTCCCATCTCCGCTGTCAAAGACTTCTCTCCTATGAGGAGATATATTTTCAAATGTCATGATTTGTTTGTTTAATATGAAAACATGTATGAAAATAGGCTGTACATACACAAATACGACTGAAAACAATTAAATGAGAAAACTTACACTTCCCTCGAATTAACATTGTCTTTATACATTTATGGTAAAACCGCGGCAATAAAGCATTGATCTCTCTCCAAAATCGGTTTTTTTGGACGTCGAACAACCTTTCGCCATCTATTTCCTTTAAACAGCTTGCAATGTTTGCCCAGTAGCGATCCAGAAATTTTTGCGCCAACGCAAGGATCCGATTACTGACGAAACCCTGTTCTGAATGTGTGTTGGGCCGTTTATAATTAAAACTTATCAGGAGCCATTACCACTAAAGCTTGCGAAAGCTCGTTTTGAAAGTGTGAACCACAACATTTTAGACAAAGTTTGCGTGATCCAAGTATGAGTGACATGAAAGAAAGAATTTAACGGCTCACGCGATTTCCTGTGGACACGCAAAGTTCTGTTGCGTGAGAATGTCGAGCATTCTTCGAGCGAAAACGTTGAAACAACCAGCGTCAGCGCGAGACAAAAGCGAAGAGGTGAGAAGACATGGGTGAAAGAATGCTTAAAGTCTTAACGTAACAGTCCTTTGCTTACTGCTGTCCACCCATGCCATGATGAAAATTGCCTTGTTTGTTGTAGATAGTTGAGACATCAACTTGCGAAGGACCCTCTCTTTTGAGACGAATGTTGAGTGCTCGCTCATTGCACTCTTTTCCTTGTTCAAGGTCACCGATCGCTTGGTGTGTACAGGTATTGATAGGTAGTTGTCACTTAAACATTTTCCTGTCCGAGTTGTTCTGTTAGAATGGTCAAATCACGATCATGACGGCTCTACAGCTTCCTGCAATTCACCCAGGTCGCTATGTACAAGACCTAAATTATTGTAGGTTGTCGCCGCATCAACATGATCAGGTCCGAGCTTTCTCAGACGACCCGCCATTGCACCGTTTTAACATTCTTTAGCCGGCTGAATATCACCAAAGGAATGATAGACAGAACTCAGATGATTGAAAGTAGTAGCTGCATCAACATTTTTAGGTCCGAGCTTTTTCAGACGAATGGTTAGTGCACATTCATAACACTATTTCGCCTGCTGCAGGTCAGGAAGGGAACTATGGACAGTACCAAGATTATTGTGACTGAACGCCACATAACACAGATTATTGAAGTTAGTTGCTACATCAAGATGTTCAGTTTTGAACTTATTCAGAAGGAAGCGGATCAGTGAAATATCACCATCATGACACTCTTTTTCCTGTTGCAGGTCACCATACCCGTACCCAGGTCATTTTTACTAAACGCAACATCAAGATACTCAGGCCCGAGCCTTTTTCAAACGAATGGCCAGAACACGGTCAAGAAACTCCTTTCCCATATCTACATGCTTTGTTCCGCGCTTTTTCAGACGAATGGCCGGCGCACAATAATGACACTCTTTTACCCGTTGCAGGTCACCAAGGTTATGGTACGCAGTACCCAGATAAGTGAACTCTGCAACTTTGCGTTACTTATATTATGCCTTTGCTTACTACTGATAATGAGCTTCTCCCCTTCAATTTTTCACCACATGAATGCGGGCTGATACGAATATATCTATTATTTCAGGTTTCAATTGTTGTTTCCTTCTTTATTTTCAGTCGACAGATGCCGTCGCAGTTTGCTACAGAAAGAGACTGGAATCTATTTCACCTGCTCAGAAATTCTGTACTTGCAATGGTATGAGAACTGGCTAATTAATTACTGATTAACTTGTCTTGAAACTTGAACTATTTGACTTACACTTAACTTCAGACACCTTTTTTGTACTTTAGTTTCCGAGAAAACTAGACCTTTTTCTTTCTCTTGCAAACTAAGGATCATCAAGGTCACTGTTGTTAAAAAAATTTAGCTACTTAATATGTAAGGGGAGGATTTACCAAATTTGAATTATTTCTTTTGTTCATGCTCTCTGTGACATTCTCTCCTCTGTTTGGTTCTGTTATTCAAAACAGTTTGTGGAAAGGATGACAAAATGTAATTTGAATTTGGGTGCTACCCAAAGGTAGGCTCCCCACTTCAATATTTAAGTATTGCCTGCTTATATATATGCTGCTGATATATTCTGAGTTCATCCCCAAGGTTGTCTTCTCTATCCCATGTGTTCTCCGAGTGAAATTCTTTTTCTAAATTGGAGAAAATATATCTATGTTGCTTTAATTTATCATGAATTCTAGTCACAGATCTTCTATAGTTATATATTTAGTTGTTGAAAATGTTCATGCAAAGCCAATTTTTTTTTCCAGTTTTTATCTGGCCTGCTTTTGTTGTAGGTTGGAGAAGTTGAAGAAGTAGCAGAATTATTGAAAGTAAAGTATTACTGATTTAAAGATGGTTGTCCTGTTGTACAACAAACATTGATAGTTTAAACTAATCAAGTACCTAGGTGTAATCATTTGTCACTTCTTCCTTTTTCATATTTATAGCCAATGGAAAGGTGAAGTAAAGGAAGGACTCCAAGGTGAGTGTAAGAAGTGTCCCTACTTTCTTTTCGTGAACATCTCCACACTAAAATAACTGAAAGCAACAAAACGATATTCCTTTCTCTTGTTATAAATTATCAGCATAGAGCCAGATAGCTGACAAAGAACCAGAGCTTATTCATTCTACCTTGCATGGAACCACTGGGCATACTGCTACCGACTCCCCTGGATGGGGTGCTAGTCCATTGAAAATAACATCCTCCCCCTCTTCCTCCCTGCATTTATGAGGCTTCTCTGACTGTTCAGCTGTACCTGTTTAGACTCCTTGGTGGTGGGATGGGGGGAGTAAGAGCACAACACAATACCCTAGCTGGGTCTTGACCTTGGCCCTCTCACACTGGAATCAAGGATACTAACTGTAAGATAGGCCAACACTTCTCTTTATAAGGAATATGGCCTATTTGTTGGTGCACTTAAATACGAGATGGAGAGGTCAGAACAAGAGCACAGGGCCACTCATTATGTTGAGTTTTTGGGCAAAACACTCAACTCTTTTAGTGCCTCTGTAGTCCTTGGAGTAGAAGTGAACAATGACCCCAGAAAATGATCAGAGAAACATAATGGAAAGTGGGGAATGACCTGTAAATGAACTAACATCAGAAAAATTCAAAGCTAAGATTTCAATAAAAAATTTAAAGATTTAGAATGTATCTCATGAGTAGTTCTTGTGTTAAAAACAGGTAGCAAGCAAATTGAAAAGAATTAAAGCAAATGGTCACAACAGTTCATCCTACTGGGTGGATTTTGATCCACATCTTAGCAAATTGTTTGTGGTTGCTTTTCTAGATTGGTCTCCCAAAGAGAAGCATTATCTTGCCCAAGAACTCAGTGATGTACTTATTTACCTGGTAAGACTTGCAGAAAAATTCAATGTTTATCTTCCCAAGGAGGTGGTGGCTAAAATAGCACTGAATTCCAAGAAATATCCTAAAGATCTGGTAAAGAGATCAAGCAAAAAGTATACAGAATACAAGGAAGTTAATTCATTAAATAACTGAAAGATTGTTTAGCTGCTCAGGATTATTTTTACATGTTACATAAATTGAGAGAGTGGGTCACTCTACTTAGGAGACAGTGCTAAAATGATACTTGCTTAAAATTACTTGAATCTATGGTAAAATTTAGATACAGTTTTTACAATGAAGTTGAATTTACTTGTTTCAATGGTTGTTGTTGTTGCAACAATCAGAGAGTTCAGTTAGTTGAACTCTGTGTACTTTTAAGGAAAGTTTGTCCTCAAGTAAGGCTGTCTCCTTGAAAGAGTTTTTCACTTTGAAAGTAAGTTATTTATTATTTCAAGAAACTTTTAACAACTAGAGTACTACAAGTACGAGCATCAGTTGGAATACCAAAATGTTTACATGACTGTGAAAATGATATAGCACCACTCATAAAGGCATGGAGAAGTTTAATTGATAAAATTGTAAGAGATCTACCAGTTGAAACTCATTCTCTTAATGGATATGATTGATATAAATTTGAGAATATACTTTTATAAATAGCCTCTTAGTTCTTTTGCTTGGGCCAGACCAGGTCATTCATGTTTGAAGTTAATGTTCTATTTCTTTATAGATAGCAAAATCAAGTTGATTTATCTTAGCTAGTTTTTTTTACAACACAGAGTTTAGGCAATATTTACTGTGGATGAACACTGATATCAATGTTGTTTTGTTTGCAACAACGGATGTTTTTAAATTAACTGGTTTTTTTTTTTTCATTTTGCGTTTGATGTTCTTTTTCACCTAATTGTGTTAGTTTTTTGTTCATTTTTAGCCAGCTTTTCCAAACACCCCGACATGATTGTTACAATTTAAAGAAATTGTTAATCGTATGTCATGTGGTTAACAGGAAAATTTTATTTTGAAATAAATCTTAGTTAAAATGAACTTTGTGTTCCTTTTTCCCAATTTGATTCTTGTTTTCATTCAGTTCCAAACCTTGTGGAACATTTGCTCAGTATAAATAGTAGTGAATTGCTAATGAGGGAATGAAATGAACATTGACTTATCATTAGCAAATTTTTATTGCTTCATTGTAATTATTGATTGAATGCTAAAGCTGGAGTTTTAAAGAGGGTTTCAAATGATGTTGAGTCAGCCATATTGGTGTATGAAAACAATAAAACGGTGAATATTTTGATGTACAAAGTCAATCCTTCAGCTTTTGTACTCTTTCCTTGCATTGACACTTTCCTTTGTTACAAGCTTCCTTCCAAGTGAGCAAAAACACCTTGATGCCTCTAAAAGAACATTTTGCATGCTGGAAAGAGGATGGTTTCCTGCTCCCTATATTAATGGTGAAAGGGCGTTGTAAAGGGCAAGACCTCTACCTTGCCTCACCCCTGATGGTTTAGGTTTACCATATTCAACTAGCAAAGTAAATGTTTAAATATAGCACTAACGCTTGAGCAAAGCAAATTATTGGTCAAAGAAAAATAAATAAAAATAAGATATAGATAAAGGAAAAATAATAAGAAGAGACCGGTTGAAAACTCATGAACAGTAAGACTGTAAGATGTTTGATTTGACTTTGTTTTTAAATGTTTTAAGGGGGAGGTGTTTAATGCTTTTGTCAAGGTGATTCCAAACTTTTACAGCTGCAAAGCGAATGTTGAATTTACCATAGTTTGTTTTGATGGTATTAATTAACCTAGTTTCTAAGCCCTCACCTGTGCTTTACAAGCTTGTCTGCAAATGTGTTACATTTTTAGGAGACTTCTCACCACTGGGATGTTCATTTGGAGAAAGAGATACATGGATTGCTTAACAAGAACAAAAGCGATGGCTTTCACCTCACCCCACCCCTAAGGGATTTTAATGGGTGGGCAGTGGACCCATGAACAACGAACTCAACCAAAATGGCGGACAAATGGATTTTAAGTCGATGGAAAAGTAAAAAAGTCGCAAGCACAGGAATAAAATTGATGAAATGGATCTTAAGCGAAATCTTGGAAAATTTCAACCTCCTATGATTCAGAAAAGTGCGATGTAAATGAGTTAAAGACGAAAATCGAGAAATGCAAGTAAGCAAAGGTTAACTTTTTATGAAATTTTTGTATTTCACCTTGACTATGTACTGAAGATGAAGGTTCTACATGTTTAATCTACTGAATCTATGTATGTTGTTAATTAGGGAAGAAATTTCAGAGAGTGAATTTCTTTTAAATGTTAAAGGTAAAATACAATAATTAGTGCATTATATGTCAACTTTTGTCAGCTCTCCTTAGCCCTTCCCCACCCCCACCCCCTTCTGCCTCACTTATCCATCTGAGGACCAGTTTTTAAACCGTGGACAAACATGAAGAGACTATTGTTCATTTATCTGACATTTATCCATACCCTAAAAATTTAATATTACATCAAGGATGACTAACCTGACCATGAAAAAAAAGGATGGCTCTGAAAAGATGGCACAATTGCTGGTTACCCAGTGGTTTTTGTTATGTCAAAGCAGAACTGAAACCCTGCATTGAGAGTCCAATGTGCTCTCTGCTCGACCATGCTGCTTGTTGGGATTCATTATTCATTAATTAGTTGGTCAATAGAAGGATCATTTCTCAGATGAGATACAAAGAAACGGAATAAAAAGGGATCCTTTCCTAACAAGGCCTCAATTTTTTTTCTCTTCAGAACTACTTTGCGATGGTCATCATATGAAGAAGTCCTGTTGTCCAGCTGAGTCTGCTGTTAGAACAGATAACAAATTTAAAATCATCCCAGGAGAACCTGTTACTGATATTGTTTGTTTTGGAATTAGAAAAACCATCTTCATCCCAGGAGAACCTGTTACTGATATTGTTTGTTTTGGAATTGGAAAACTATCTTCATGTCCTATAGCTAGATACTAGTTTGCCTTTTTTCTGTTGTTGAGAGAGTTGTTAAAGGTAGCTATGTCTGGTGACCCTTGTGAAATGGATTTTGGAATTCCTAGGAATTCCTAGGAATAAAGGTGTGAATTTCCACGGTAAATTCAGACTGGGAATTCGTAGGAATTCCCAACCATAACAACTCTGGTTCTAAAAACCTTGATATTCCTAGAAATTCCCAGAAATTCCCACAACAACCCAGAAATTCCAAGTTTATAGTCAACAGGACTTGGAATTCCTAGGAATTCCAACTCAGAGAACCAATGACTTTCCCTGAAAAGCTGTAAATCTAAAAAAATCCTAGGAATTTCTGGGAATTTTAAGAATTTTTAGGAATGTTTAAGAATTACTGGGAATTTAAGCAAAAATTTGAGGCTAATGATATGAAATAAATACTTAAATTAAAAAAACCCAGCTAAAATTCAAGTATTCAATGAAATTTATTTACAAGCTTAATTAAGGCTTACATGTAAAATATTTTTGATTAATTATTAACATCAACATGCGGTATTATTATTTTTCTTTTCTTGAAAACTTCATATGGATTAATCCTCAATTACAGCTATTCATATAAAATAGTCCTAATCAATCATTAAATTTGGTTGGACACAAATTGTGAACAAAATCTGTTGATTCTTTTCCATAAAATACAATATCTTGAATTATATTTGAAAACCAAGCACTCTTGGGAGTGAAGGGGTTAATTACAGATAAATAAAATTGATTTTTCAATTAAAATCTTGTTGTAACTGTAACAATAAATTAGAATGAAGTTATCCTAAACTGCAAACTTAGCTGCTGTTTGTATTTTTTTCCCTGGGCTCCCAATGAGTTGGCCTTGAATGAGGTTGTCTACAAGAAGCTTGACCATTTTGTATCTGGATTCCATGACATCTGAATTTGAAAAAAAATTATATATATAAATATATATATTTAAAGCTCACACCAGGCCTTTAAGATGGAAATCTCGGTTATATTGAGTGACTTTAATATTGGAGTTAGTACATCTCTCCCATAGATTTTACTAAAAAAGGGTTGAATACATTATTTTGTTTTTACCAAGGAGGGCTTCTTTATGTAATAAGGTTTGTTTAATAACAGTTCCTTTTATGAATCTTGAATGTTCCCAAATGTGACTAAAGGATTCTTGAAACCTTACTGATAGATTTATTTCATTGTAAAGCATAATCTTAAGAAACTGCGGCATGCAAGTGACCTATTCGATTCTCAGAATTATTCTAGTTTCAGTTGCGCCGAGCGTTATGTAAGCTTAATTCAACCCGTTACATCTATTCTTTTATAAGATTTTGATCACGTAACCAATATCGCAATTTTTACTCACCACAAACTTTCAAAATCGTAGCTTTACAGATGGCCACTCGACCCTTGTTTGTACCAGTCAATATGTCAACTGTTGTCCCTTCTTTTAACTCCACGGCGCCAACGACTTTCTTTTCTTTTACAACACTCACGCTGTTCTCGTTTTCTCATTGAACCACAATAAAAGCTATCTTTAGAGATGTTATATTAAGCAAAACAGTTGAGAAAAGCGACCAACCGATGAAGAGTACATTGATTTTCAAAGATGAGCGCCAAATAGAGTCTTCTTTGTTTCCGATCACGGGCATGATCACGTGGATCTTTTAGGACTTGTCATTGGCTAGCAAAGTGAATCCGCTGGCTTGCCGATTGCAGTGTTAAGAGAAGCGCGCAACTTTATTCTGACTTCTCCGACCGGTTCTCTGCTTCTAAACGATGGATACCTTGGTGATTTTAATAATGATGTGAGCTCACTCTATGTAGAAATAATCCACAAGAATCGATCGTACTACAAATGCACGATTTGTGGCCGAAAGTTGTCGAGGAAACAAAGACTCGAAACTCACTTGAGTCGTGTTCATGGCAAAGGTGAGAAATAACACAAGCCAATCACAGTTTTGAATGCGACTACAAATCGTCTTTTACCCTCATATTTATAAAAGAAGGATACCACATTAGGAAGTATAAGAGATACATAGATGATTCCAGTGTACCAGTACCTAAATCTACAAAGCTTGACCGTAGCAAGCACCAAAAATAAAAAGATGTAATATTTTTTGGGAGATCCAGTGATTGGAACATTTAAGAAATTAAGTTATGAAAGGAAACTTGGTTTGTACTTCTCATTACTGGCAAGTCTTGTTGACAAATATTTTCAGATCAGAGTTTCAAATAAAGTAAATTGAAGACGTCATTTAAAAGGTGTTTTTTCTCAAAAGGAACATTGACTACCTCTGTCTTGTCTGCATGCCAAATGTTTGCAAAGTGTGTGGATGATCCACAAGTATTGGAACTCTTACAATAATGTTTTGTAAGAATAAAAACAACAAAACAAATTCCAATTAGTGAAAACAGGATCTTTGATTAATTAGGTGTTGAATTTGTTTGTCTAAGGATTTCTTTAGTGTCAACAAAAGTCTCAGACAGTGTTTGAGGATCTTAACAAACTGTTTTTTCTAACAAAGGCAAAAGTAATGTTTTGAGGAAATCTTATTTTTTAACAGATTCTTTAAAGATCAATTTAAAAGTTAATTATCCTGGAAGTTGTGTACCAAGAAGGATCTAATTTGTGTGATGATTTTGTCAATCAGTGAACATGAGAAGATCCAATAAAAATATTTTATGATCATGTTTTTCAACAGTCCTTTTAGGTTAGAAAGCAAATCTGTGATAGGAGTACATTGGATTAATTGGCAATTTCCATTTAACATAATTGACTGCTGGTTCATGAGAAAATCCATATTAATGTAGAGATTTACTTAAAACTTAGTTTGAATAATAAATTTTATGATCTTTAAGTTATAAACATATACATGTATGTATATCTCTTGGTAAGTTTTGTATAGCATACCTTTTATTGAGCCAAAGTTTTAAGCCTCTGAAATTACTCCTTTTCTTAAAACCTTCACATTCTAGGTATTGAGAATTTCTTAGAATTTATGTAGACCTCAGGGTATTTAAATTGCCTCAAATTCAATTCCCAGAAATTCCCAAGAATTCCACCCTTCTTAAATTATAGGTAGTTTGTATAGCTGAGAATTCCTAGGAATTCCAAGGAATTCAAGTCCTCACAAAACTGGAATCTTCCTTTCCCAGAAATTCCCAGTAATTCCAAGCTTTTTAAAAATCTCTTGAGTGCTTCTACAAGGGCAGTACAAATTGGGTACCTAAAATTATCTGGGAAATGATAAAAGCCTCTTGTGGTAACCTGCTATGTCCCAATATCCCATTCAGGAGGATAATCAATACTCTAGGTCAACTTAGGCAGAAACTGGGATAAGTATGGGTTGTACTTATCACTCAGCACAAGGGTGACATTTGCTAAGGGTTAGGGTCATAATATGTTATTGTACATAGTCAAAAGAGGCTTCCATGATGTTTTTAAACAACAGATCTGCAATATTTTGTTGACTGTGATGCAGATTGAATTAAAGTGAACTTTTAGGTCATGGTTAGGTAAATTTGTTCTGTGATTAATAACCTTTAAGTCAATTTTTTTAAACTAGATTGGTGGACTGTTTTTCATCTATGAACCTCGTTTTTCATGAGATGATAAAGTAGTTGTTGAAGAGTTTGAATGTCCTCTTATTGATCACAATGAGGTAAGATGTCTCTTTAAAGTATCAGATTAAAGAATAAAAGATGATGGACACTGGAAACATGGAGGAGTCAAAACAATATTACACTAATTACTCCAAAGACTCTTTTCTTTTTTCTTCTTTTTTTAGGAAGGAAAGAGAAATGTAGAAAACTTTAATCTTTTTTTCATGCTTCATAGTCAGTGGTAAACCCCTTTACAACAGTGTTCTTTGGGCTAACTAGGGTGTGGGGCTATCCAATGTTATCATTCTTGGGATCAGATTTTCTTTTTTTCATTTAGGCCATTACTACCAACTGTTTTTGTGCTCCATGGCTTTCCCTTTTGTGAAAGTGGGTTGGTTGGTTGGTTAGGCAAAATAAATAGAAGAAAATAAAAGGTAAGAAATAATAATTCTACAATTAATCCTTTGTTCAGAAAAAGTTTGGATAAAGATGTTTACTTACTTTGGTTAAAAGATGCAAGTTTACCTTGATTAAACATTAAATGGGAGGTATCAAAATACATCAATGTTTTTTTTTTTAATATTGTTCTCTACAGAATACCCTCCAGAAAGCTAAGAGAAGAAGCATCGTATATTTACAATGTATCTTTTTTCTTCTTCATATTTCAATCTATACAACATTTAAAATCTGAATTTAAGACTTCATGCCAAGAGTGTTGCTAGAGAAGGAGTTAAGTTTCTTAAGGAGATACTTTGTTTTCCAATTCTACTTTGACCGTTAATAAGCTCCAAAAGGTAACCTAATTGCTATTTAACAACAATATAAATGTGAGGAAGAAATCTTCACAGGTTAACTGAAAAAGAAGCCTAAAAAAACTTCATGCTCCAAAGGGAAGTTAATCCATGCTTCCAAGATATTAGTTAGGGACTACAAGGAAAAACATATAGTTGTTTTTGTTTCATATAAACTATCTTTGGGCAACAACTTGTCACAATTAAGGCTATTTGTGACTGTATAAGAACATTTTTGTCAGTCTTTTGCTAAATCACCTTTTGATCAGTTTTCAAATGTGCCACTGAAAAGAGGTACAATTCTGTGATGATAGCTTGTTTCTTGTAAAACATTGTGATAACAACCCAAACATTAAAAATTTATCTTATGAAAGTCATTATTTTGTAGAACCTTTGGTTTGTTGCCTTTGTTTCTTTACCGTCACAGTTGTCACGAATTTAAAAGGAATAACTTTAAATCTCACTTTAACTTGCCCTGCTGTAAAATTTGCACATCGTGTTTATTTTGGGGCTTTTTACGTGTCACGTAAAGACCCTTAACCACCTTCCTACTTTACCATGTCCATATTCTCTCTTATTGAACTAAGAGATGTGCAAAAGTTACGGGGTAGGGAGAGGTGGGTATGGAATCTGCAGTCTTTCTCTTTCAACATCTAAATTTTACAGCAAAGGAAAGCTTCTTGCAAAATATCGTGGAAACTACAGAAAAAGAGTAAGACATTTAAGGAAAGTAAGAAAATCTTTTCATGAATTAGTTTGATCTCAGACACAAAAAAAGAATCAGCACAGTCCGTTCATTCCAGGATATTTAAATATATTAAGTTAATATGATCATATTTCCTGCATTTTTGTTACGTTAGTAATCGCAAGGGAAAAAAAAAAACACCAGGAGAGTATTAACTTGAAGAAACAAGAAGACTGAGTCATTGGAAATTATAAGCAACTCGATTTCTTTTCCACCTGACTGGTTGAGTAGGTAACCCCAGTTTCTTGGCCAATCACAGAAAGGAGCATAGTAAAACTGGATTTTCTTTGACAATCGAACAAGAAAATAATCTCTTGCACCGAATGATTACCCTTGGTTTTTTCAAATTCACTTTGGCATTCTCTTAGTTTTTGTAACCACTTTGAAACTCATTTTTTAGTTAATAATTTAGGACAATTTCATGATAAATGCCCTCTTCTCTTTCAAAAGAAATTGGATCAGTTTAACCTTCAACACTTACCCTGGTAGTTTACAAAATAGCTGAGAAGGGGAAAAGTGTTTTAAAGGAGGACCAATATACACAATAGCCCTCCTGTTTACTTCATTAGCATGAGGGTTTGGCAGGGCAATCACGGACGACCAAGCTAGCCTGAGTAAACTGAGATTAGTAATGAAGCAGAGAGGTCACTGACAAGTTTTGGACCTAAACCAAATGACACTGATGAAAAGTTGATGAAGTCCTACGTTATGGTATTTACAATCGAGCTTATGTATACTCAAGTCATATTTATATGAGGTAGAATAATGGAAAGGCTGACTTCTACTATCGTTTTAACCCTTTATACCTTGAGAGTGACCAGCATCTAATTTCTCTTTACAATAATTCTGCTGAGTCATAGACTAAGATCACGAGAGTAAAGAAATGATCACCAACCAAAGAAGCTTTGATTGATGAAACAAATCTCCTGTCAGTACCAAAGGAAATGTATGGAGAAGAGTAAGGAGAATATAGATACTGATGTCAGGGTGTAAAGGGTTAACAAACTATTTCGACTATTTCTATTTCGGTCATTGGAATTCAATAAGGCTGTCTTTTGTGTATTAGATTGCCTAATGGAATTTTCCTTTTTCCAGAGCATCTAATTTTCAACAAATTTAGTTTTCTGTCAAAAAATTGATCTTATGTCCCAGAAGTATCATGTCCGGCACTTTTAGGTTTAATCCAAAGTTAACTCTGAATATCATACAATCGACTCTGAGATATGGTAGAAGTCCGTCACCTCTCCCTTTCTCGAGGTATCATCACTAAGTTATTCTGCAAGGCTACCATATGAATATCTTAAAGTCCGAGGTTTTTCAGACTAATGCTATATGCATGATCTTGAAACTCTTTTGCCTGCTCAGGAGCTCACCAAGGCCACGGTCTACAGCGCCAAGGTTATAGTAACTTTCCGCCACATCGACATGTACAGGTTCGAGCTCTTTTAAACAAATGTTCAGTGCACGATCATGATATTCTTTTTCCTGCTTCAGGTCACCAAGGTGTTGATGCACAGGACCCAGATTATTGTAACTATTTGTCACAGCTACCACATCATAATATTCAGGTCCGAGCTTTTCCAGACGAATGGTCTGTGCATGATCTTGTCACTCATTTGCCTGCTGCAGGTCACCATGATTATGATGCACAGCACCCAGATTATTCTAACTATATGCCACATTGACATGTGCAGGTCCGATTTTTTTCAGACCCATGGTCTGTGCACGATCATGACACTCTTTTGCCTGCTGCAGGTCACCAAGGGCAAAGTGCACAGCACCCATATTAATGTAACTATTTGCTACATTGACATGTTAAGGTCCGAGCTTTTTCAGACGAATGGTAAGAGCACGATCGTGAAATTCTTTTGCCTGCTGCAGGTCACCAAGAGCACGATGCACAGTGCCCAGATTATTGTAACTATTTGCCACATCGACATGGTCAGCTCCGAGCTTTTTCAGACGGATGGCCAGTGCAAGATCATGACATTCTTTTCCCTGCTGTAGGTCACCAAGATCATGATGCACAGTACCCAGATTATCGTAAGCATTTGCCACATCGACATGTTCAGGTCCAAGCTTTTTCAGACGAATGGTCAGTGCACGATCATGAAATTCTTTTGCCTGCGGCAAGTCACCAAGATCATGGTACACAGTACCAAGATTATCGTAAGCATTTGCCACATGTATATGTTCAGGTCCAATCTTTTTCAGACGAATGGTCAGTGCACGATCATGGCATTCTTTTGCCTGCAGCAGGTCACGAAGATCATGATGCACGGTACCCAGATTATCGTAAGCATTTGCCACATCGACATGTTCAGGTCCGAGCTTTTTCAGACGAATGGTCAGTGCACGATCATGACATTCTTTTGCCTGCGGCAGGTCACCAAGATCATGGTACACAGTACCCAGATTATCGTAAGCATTTGCCACATCGACATGTTCAGGTCCGAGCTTTTTCAGACGAATGGCCAGTGCACGATCATGACATTCTTTTGCCTTCGGCAGGTCACGAAGATCATGATGCACAGTGCCCAGATTATCGTAAGCATTTGCCACATCGACATGTTCAGGTCCGAGCTTTTTCAGACGAATGGTCAGTGCACGATCATGACATTCTTTTGCCTGTGGCAGGTCACCAAGATCATGATGCACAGTACCCAGATTATCGTAAGCATTTGCCACATCGATATGTTCAGGTCCCAGCTTCTTCAGAAAAATCGTTATTGCACGATCATGACATTCTTTTGCCTGCTGCAGGTCACCGAGGGAATGGTGCACAGTACCTATGTAACCATATGCATTTACAACGTCTTCGTCACCAAACACATCGTCACATTGAGTTAATCGCAACATTACGTTGAAGTACGTTAATGCTGATCGGAATTCACAGTTTTTTTGGCAGGTGTGACCAAGGGTTTTGAAATAGTTTCGGTAGTCATAGGGAGTGGATGATCCGGCTTTGACAGCGTCGGATATACCCTCTTCTGAAAATAGACCATCGATTATCTCACTCATTGTTACTAAATGAGGAACAATTTTCTTGCTTCTAATAAGAGTATGCGAGTCATCCTCATGACCTATAACTTGGCAGAATGACAGAATGGCCCCATCAACGGCTTCAAGCTCTTTGTTTTCGGCGCAGGTTTTCATAACATTATTGATGACGTCATGGACAATCTGGTGCACCCGAATGTACACGCCGCTGTTATCTTCTTCAAATAACAGCAAAGAGCATTTGCAGATTCTCGTAGCAAATATCTCAGGGTCTTTAGGCTCCTTATTTACTTTGCTAAGATAATTTACAACAATCTGTAGACTCAAAGGGTGTGGTGCACAGACAGAAAGAAAATGAAAAGTGTGCTCCAAAACTTTATCCGCTGCGATCGTCTTCTTAACAGCAAATGTTGTGGCTGCAGTCATGGAGTTTTTGTAACTTGGGTTACTTCCAGCGAGCATGGCTTCTGTTGTACTTCTCTTCCCTTGGTCCAATTTCTTTAGAAAGTCATCCCAGCTAAAATTGGGAGTTAATTTGTTCTTTCTTACTTCTCTCACATAAGTGGCAGCGCTTGCTAGGGCAAGTGGCTGGTAGTCTAATACCCGAGCAACTTCTTTTTCCATCTTGGGGTCAGAAAAACCAGAAAGCATTTCCAATAGAGAGCCAGCTTCATGAGACTCCATACCTTTGCTGACTGGAATATGTTGAATAAATGAGCCTGACGGCGGGATAGATGCGGTGTCCTGTGTTGTTATCAGCAACTGGCCCTTTGCGCACTGCCCATTTCCTGGATCAGGTAAATTACCGTCCAGATGAGACATGTTGGTGACGTTATCAACTATCAGTAGCCACGATGAGTACAGCTCGATTTTTGTGCTGATCAATGTCTTTAGACTTATGATCTTCTCGTCTGTACTTAAATCTTTGGAGGTAAATGTGTTGGTAACAGCGTATTCTGGACACTTCAGATGTCGAGCGAAAGTGGCATACGATTCCAAAAGTGTTTTAGGGTTTTCAGCATTCAGTGTCATTACAAACGATGCAGTAGATATACTTTCTTCGCAAAATAAACGCTCAGCTGCAAGTGAGGCCATCTGCGATTTACCACTTCCAGGATTTCCAGATAGGTACAAGTAACTTAATCCTGTGGACTTTTTCAGCGCTTTTAACTGTTCAATAATCTTAGATGTATCAGAATCTCGATTTGCGACATCATGAGAGGGCTTAGGAGGAAGAATGCAAAATGAAGAAGCCTCGCTGTTTAACTGTTCTTCAAGAGTCTGTCTTTGTTCTTCTTTTTGCTGAAGTTCCTTTCCTTTTTCCTGCAATTTCTTGTCTTTTTCCTGAATTACTTTTCTTTTTTTCTTGAAGATTTTTGTCTTTCTCCGAACTTCTCTCTCTTTTTCCTGAACTTCTTTTTCTTTCTCCTGAACTTCGTGCTTGAGGTCGTCTACCTTCTTCAAAACATGTCTCAGCTGCTCTGTGGGAAAATAAGTTTGGGTTTCTAATTCTTGAATTTTAACGATGGAAAGACCGAGAGCTAAAAATGCATTTTCCACTTTGCTAATGGCATTTTGAAACTCTACGTCTGAGAGGTGACCTCGTGCGATATGAGCGAACTCTTCGTTACGAAACAACCTGAGTTTATCCACATTTGACCGGACGACTGGATTAAGACTATGAATGCAATCAGAGAAAAGAATGGCGTAAAACAGCATGGTACAATCCCACTCAGCTCTATTTCCCTTAGTCATGGTTGCTAATAGACGTGCATGCTTGTTTTGGTTCCGTGGCGATTCGCCATTGCAGAAGTCCGATCCATTTTTTGGATCATCTTTCCATTCTCCTAACGTGGCCTTGTAGTGACTATCCCATTCTTGTTTGAAGATTTCTCGCAATCCCTCGGTCAAGATGTCAGTGGTAACGTGACAAATCCTGAAATAGTTTAGCTGCTCCTCATTGTATTCCATTGAAAAGGCCATATTCAAATCCAAATCCTGAAATAGTTTAGCTGCTCCTCATCGCATTCCATTGAAAAGGACATATTCACTTTGAACAATTTCTTACGGTTCAGCGACTGTCCTTTAATTTTAAAAAAGAAATTTTAAAAATTTTTCATCTGAAAAATGGCTTTTCTTCCCTTTGGAAGGTTTGTTTTAAGCTGAGCTAAATAAGTCGAGGCCTGTTGTCTTTCACGGAATAAGAATCAGTACAAACTGCTTAATTGCGAAGCAATTGGAAGTACCAGATATGTAAAAGCGTTTGACTAAGGCACCGTGCTGGATTTTGTAGGATTTTGGCCCACATTGGTGTCTCACTCGTACTGGAGGTGTGACAGTTTTTTTTCTTTATTATGGGGAGATGAGATACACCTAACGACTGCTTCACTCACCCTTCCCCTTTGTTCACCTTGAAACTTTGATGATAATTACCTCTCTGAATAAAACGCCCGATTCTTTAACTTCTGAAGAGGAGTGTTAAGAGTTCCTTTACGATAAAACAATCAAATGTCAAGAAAAAGCAAAAGAAAATGTAACGATTGATGGGCGAGGAAAGATAGGAACCCCTTGACTGACTTACTATTGTAAATGGTGAGACTGTACACGAGTAAGTTTGGAAAACGTCCAGTCCAAAGAAAAGGGCTCAAGGGAACAGTTCAGGTAATACCAAAGGACGGGGTAATTAGCTTTAAGTAGCAATTATTTCAGTTGCAACCCGCAAACGACAGCAGTCAACTCATTAACTTCTTTAGTTGTCTTACCACAAATGTTCTAGCTTTGTTATCAGTTCCGGCATTAAGCATAAGACACAAAGGGAAGAAATTCAAGTCTGCCTCTGCTCTTCCATGTCATGTTAACCCTTTGACTCCCAAGATCTCATTAGTAATTCTCCTCACTGTCTGCCAAAGAGTTCTTGTGATGTTGGTTTGGAAAATTTGGTATTGGATCAACTTTTAATCCCTAATGGATAATTTTCTTTATTCTCATCACTTGTCTGCTTGATATTGTGCTGATATTGTAAGGAGAAATTCTGTCTTGGTCACTCATGGGAGTTAAAGAGTTAATAGTGGTTACCACAAGTAGAACAAGTGCCCGCAGTCAAGTGCTCATAATTGTTAATAACTCACGGCCTGGCTTAAACAAGTGAAAATGCACGAACAAGGCTGAATTCGATAGATAAAGACTTTGCAAGAAAACAACTGTTTGGAATCCAAAAGATTGTTCTTTTTGATTTTCTTTGTAATGGTTTATGGAGGGTTTTACTTCGCTTCGACGAGGATAGATAAAAGAATATATCGTAAACCGAATATCTTGAGTGAAGGAATAAACAAATTGCTTAAATTTACATAATAGAAGCCGCTCTATGATGGTTCCGTGTTCAAGAATGTTCCAATAGATAGAGGTTTGTGCAGTTTTATATATTTATGAGTCTTGCCCATGGATAAGAATTCAAATAGGCATTGTAGACTTCCCTTTTCTATCTTTGGATCTCTCTTTTTGAGTTTCTCGTCAACAGGAAACACATTCGACAACAGAAAGTGACTAAATTCAGGCATCAAATGCTCTCTATAAATAGAACAATAATGACAATGTCGGAAGAAAAATGACAATGGTCACGGCGAGAAAGGCTCTTTGAAGTTCTCTGAAGTTCCTTAACTAGGAATTACTTAAAGCTACTTCTTTCAAACTCTGAGGAACATTGACTTGCAACAAAAAGATTTACAGACAACTGTTAAATGTTATTTTTAGTGATATAACGTGAATCGATGATATGTATTATACTTACTGCGTCGAATTATTCAGGGATTATACAGCAAAGTTGCAATATAATCACTTCAGTAAAGAAAGAAGGCTTCTGTCTCCAATCATCCAGGGTCGCATGTCGAAAGCCAAACACGCTCAAGTCATGAATGTCTTCCAAAAGCTTATTCTTAATGTGCGTTGAACCGTTTATAATCACCACTTATTAGAAGGAAAAACCAGTGACGCTTGTGAAAGGTTGTTTTGAAAGTGAACACAACATTTCAGTATGCGTGATCCATGTATGCGCGGCATCAAAAAAAGAATATAGCGGCTCACGCGATTTCCTGTGGACACGCAGTTCTGTTGCGTGACAAAGTCGAGCATTCTTCAAGCGAAAACTGCAATAACTAGGGTGAGCGCGAGGAGGGCGCGAAGTAAAAGTGATAGGTGAAAGGATGCTCATAGCGCTTGCGTTGTGTTTATGCTTGTGAAACGTATGTCCTTCTATTTTATGGTTATTTGGAAATCTGTAACCTTTTTACATGATCATACACTTTCCCGTTTGAGAATGTAAACCCCTGTAATGATCGACCGCCGACTGTCTATCTATTTCTCCATTTGAAGCTTATCTATACATGTTATTCCGCGCATAGGCGACATCAATATGCTCAGGTCCGAGCTTTTTCATAATAATCAAAGCACGATCAATGCACTATTTTTCCCGTATCCGGTCAAGAGATCGCAATGTACACTACCCAAATTATTGTAACAAACTGCGACATTCACATGTTCGGGTCTGAGCTACTTCAGACGAATGGCCAGTGTACAATCATGACAATCTTTTGCCCGTTGCAGTTGACCAAGTTCACGATGCACAGAACCCAGATTATTGTAACTATTTGCCACACCGACGTGGTTAGGTCCGAGCTTTTTAAGACGAATACTCTTTTGCCTAATCAGGGTCTCCTTGGGGACGATGCACGATACCCACGTTACTGTAAGTAGTTGCCACATCAACATGCTCAGCTCCGAACTTTTTCAGACAAATGCTGAATGCAATTTGAGTGCTGCAGGTCAGCAAGTTTATTGTGAGCAGTACCCAAGACATGGTGATTAATTGCCAAGTCATCATGCTACTGTCCGCCATGAGCTCGCTAGTAGCGTAAAATACACCATCGTTTTAGAAATCAAATTCTAATGAGAATACGATAACTCGCCTATTAATGCATATTTTTTTCGACATTTTGGCGACTGGTCCATGAGGTTTACTGTTCGTAACCACCCATAGATTGTGCGGAATTACGTTTATTTTGGAAAATTAACCACTTCAGGTTGGCGATTACAGCTGCTGTAGCCATAACAACCGATATAGACACCTTCGCTGTGTTCTTCCTTCGTCAAGCATCCGCAACAAATATAACCCCACAGTATCTCTAGATGAGTTTTGAGGAGCCTATACTGAAATAAAATGAAGCCAATAGTTTTTCACATGAACAATTAATGTAATAAAAGAAAAGAAAAGAAATTGAAGTTCACGTATTATCGCCATTCATTGAAGGAAGAAGAACTGAGAAACAACAGAGAAAAATATAATGAAAGGTTGTGTTTGATTGCTTAACAGCTTCTGCTGTAACATAGCATTATTGTATTTACAATAAAATTAGCCTTTGAAATTAACCAGTATTTGACAAGGTAAAACTAAAATCACTTTTCAGAATTACAAGTTTTTCAGCTGAAAACTTCAGTTCGATGCCCAGCGATGTCAGGTTTCCAGCGAAAAAAAAAAAAAATCCACAAAAGTAACAACTTAGAAAAAATATATGGCTCAGACATTTCCATTTTTAGAAGATTCTCATGAAATAATAATAATAATAAAAAAAAACTGTCAAAACACGAACAGAAACTTAGTCTAATTAGCAATTTTAAAGCATCTATATATCTTGGAGTTGTGGAGGCATATCTCCTAAAATAGCTCTTTCAATGAGGTAATTAAATGGTTGACCTGTTTGCGCAACTCCATGCACTGATCTCTGTCAATAAAAAGACTTTTTGCTTTCACTTCAATATCTTCTTCCAAAGACAGTTGTTTCCTGATCATTCCTTTGAGGAACGCTTCGGCATCAGCCAGTTTTTCCCGCAGTCGCGGTCTCGGAAAAACTCTATGTTTGGCCAAAAGGTTCTGTTCTCTAGTCGTGTCTGAGAAATTTTAACTGAGGCCTCTTTATCAGTAATGGCTCTGTTGAGCATTTCAATGTTTTGAAACGAGAGGTGAGGGAGGTGGGGAAATTCGCGCGTCACGTTTACTCTAAACAGTATATTGCCCATGGTTATTTCTTGTGCTTATAAATGATTTAGATGTTGATAATTTAGCTAATGTATGTAAGTACGTTGACGATACGGACGCAAGTCGTTGCAAAGGGCAACCGAAGTCACTTCGGTTGCCCTTATGCGCGGTCTCCTGAGCACAGCGGTTGTGCCCAGGAGACCGCACATAAGGTTGCGGAATGGTCTATGCAGAATAGAGTCCAACTCAATAGCGACAAATATAAGGAGCTCAGAATATCTTTCGTAAAGGTGAGCCCCAATTTGCGCCTATTGTAATAGATGGTAATGAACTAGAGAGGGTGTCTACTGAGTGCTAAACTACTAGGTCTGACCATATCGAGCAACCTTACATGGAACGAGTATATTAGTGACGTAATCAAGAAAGTGTCAAAGCGTCTTTATTTCTTAGTGCAGTTAAAAAGATCAAGAGTTCCTCGGCAGGATATGTCCACTTTTTACACTGCTTGTATACGCTCTGTTCTTATGTACGCGGCACCCGTCTTTTTTATGCTCTGCCAAAGTACTTAAAAGACGAGCTGGTGCGAGTTGAAAAGCAGGCAATGTCTATAATATGCCAAGGACTGCCTTACCAGGAGGCTATCGAACCGGTTAACATTGTCGCTGTTGTAGATTTCATCACAGGGCTAAGTAGTGATACTTTTGACACCATTATTAAGGTCCCTGAACACCCTCTGAACAGTTTAATCCCATGCAGTGGACCATCGCGTTATGCTCTGAGGTGCAATAAGCGCTTTATCGTCCCTAAATGCAAGAGCAATCGTTTTAGGAATAGTTTTATTATTAGATCCTGTATTGATAATATATGTACGTAGATTTTTAGTCTTTTTTATACTTTTTTTATTTACTGTTCTTAGTTTTGTAAATGCGCAATTCAGTCTTCGGGCTGCAAAGTATTGATGATCAAACTATCCATCAGTTTATCTATTTCACCCGTCACGAATTTAAAAGGAATAACTCCAAATCTTACTTTAACTTGTCCTGCTGTAAACTTTGCATGTCACGTATTTATTTGGGCTTTTTTACGCGTATTTTGTAACCTGTAGTTCCATTGATTAATTAAAACGAGAGCCGGAGAATCCTCTCTCTCTCTGTTTTGATATTTAAACCGACTAAATCCTTAATCCTTGCTGAGGAAAATTTTAATTATGGAAACGTTTTATCGCTACAACAGCCAACTGCAGTAATCAAAGGAACAATGATTTGACCATAATACTACTAATAGATTTCTGCCCTAATCTCGAAACTCAGCAAAGAGCAGGAAGTTCAACAGAGGAAAGCAATGGCGGGGCTTTAACTTCCTCTACTGTAAAATTTGCACGTCACGTACTTATTTTAGGCTTTTTTACGTGTCACGTACAAACTCTTTACCATCCTCTTACTTTCTTACTTCACCATGTTCATAATCTGTCGTATCGAACTAAAACTCGCGCACAAGTAACAGGGTAGGGAGAGGTGGGTACGGAATCTGCGCTCTTACTCTTCCAGCATCTAAATTTTACAGCAAAGGAAAGCTACTTGCGAAAGATTATGGAAATTAGTGAAAAATTCTAAGACATTAGAAGGGAATGGAATATATTTGTTGCAAAATAACACATTCGAAACCTAAAGATCACTAAACGAAACATTCAGAGGCCGACCAATGTTTTTAATCAGTCGATTGCGCAGATTAAGGTAAATGATTTAATACTTTCAACGCATATAAGTGAGATGGGAACAAGTGTTTTAAAGGAAGACCGATATACACAATATCCTTCCTGTTTACTTCATTAGCATCAGGGTTTGGCAGAGCTATCACGGACGACCAAACTTGCCTGAGTTAACTGAAATTAGTGATGAAGCAGACAAGAGGGGTGTGGCAGGAGAGATCACTAACGAATTTTGGTCTTCAACCAAATGACACTGATGAATAGTTGATGAAGTCCTACGTCATGCTATTAACATTCAAGCCTATGTACACTCAAGTCATATTTATATGAGGTGGAGATATGGAAAGGCTGACTTCTAGTATAGTTGTAACCCTTTATACCCTAAGAGTGACCAGCATCTAATTTCTTTTTACATTAATATCGCTGAATCATTCATTAAGATCACGAGAATGAAGAAAATGGTAACCAACCTAAGAAGCTTTGATTGATGAAACAAATCTCCTTGTCAGTACCAAAGGAAATGTATGGAGAAAAGTAAGGAGAATATAGATACTGATGTTAGGGTGTAAAGGGTTTACAAACTATTTCGACTATTTCTATTTCGGTCATTGAAATTCAAATAAGGCTCTTTTGTGTATTACATTGTGTAAAATTTAAAAACTTTCCTAATGACAGATAGGAAAACTAACGAGATTGATAAGGTAAACAGTTTAAAGCCTTCATGTTTCTCATAGCTTTGACACTAATGAAATTCTACTTTTTCTAGAGTATCTAATTCTCAAACAAATCTAGATTTCTTGCAAAAGTTGATATTATGACCTAGAAGTATCATTTCCAACACTAGTAAGTTTATATTCAAAATTAATAGTTAACTCAGAATATCATACAACAGACTCTGTGAGAGATGGTAGACGTCCGTCCAATCTCCCTTTCCAGTTGTACCATCACTCAGTTATTCTGCACGGCTACCACATCAATATCTTCAGGTCCGAGGCTTTTCAGACGAATGCTATATGCATGATCATGACATTCTTTTGCTTAAGATAATGTACACTCAAATAAGTAATGTACTCAAAGGGTGTGGTGCACAGACAGAAAGAAAGTTAAAAATGTGCTCTAAAACTTTATCCGTTGCGATCGTCTCCTTAACAGCAAGTGTTGTAGTTGCAGTCATGGATTTTTTGTAACTTGGGTTACATCCAGAGAGCATGGCTTCTGTTGTACGCCTCTTCCCCTTGTCCAATTTCTTCAGAAAGTCATCCCAACTAAAATTGGGAGTTAATTTGTTGTTTCTTACTTCTCTCACATAGGTGGCAGCGTTTGCCAAGGCAAGTGGTTGGTAGTCTAATACCCGAGCAACTCCTTTTTCCATCTTAGGGTCATTAAAACCAGAAAGCATTTCCAATAGGCAGCCGGCTTCATGAGGCTCCATACCTTTGCTGACTGGGATATGTTGAATAAATCAACCTGACGGCGAGATAGACGCGGTGTCCTGTGTTGTTATTAACAACTGGCCCTTTGCCCACTGCCCATTTCCCGAATCAGGTAAATTACCATCCAGATGAGACATGCTGGTGACGTTATCAACTATCAGTAGCCACGATGAGTACAGCTCGATTTTTGTGCTGATCAATGTCTTTAGACGTCTGATCTTCTCATCTGTACTCAAATCTTTGGAGGTAAATGTGTTAGTGAC